ATACAATATAATACAAAATATTGCAAATGACTGACTGGTAAATGATCCATATGAACCAAAGACTCTAAATGTGTGGAAAGTAAAGTTCAACCAAACCCATTAAAACAGACATCTGGTTAAAGCAATTTTCTTCCTTCATCATGCTCACAAAAATGAATGGAAAAAAGTTGTGGAAAACCTGACACTAGTCTAAACCAGACCAGACTAGACGAGATCAGAAACCAACACAACACCAGATAACCTAACCCGTGATTTTCCCTCCTTCAGAGAAACTGATGAAAGCAGAAGAAAAGGGCTGTGGAGCCGTGTCCTGGTCGGTGTACCTGGCCTACATCAGAGCAGCAGGGGGTCCGCTGGTCTTCTTCATCAACCTCTTCCTCTTCCTGTCCACTACCGGAAGTGTGGCCTTTAGCAACTGGTGGCTGAGCAACTGGATCAGACAGGGCAGCGGGGTGAGTCCTGACAGCTTTTTTCTCTCCCGTCCCGTGTAGTAAAAGAACAGCGAACAACGCTTCGGTGAACAGAAATGCTGTAGGAGGCAGCCTTAAACTGAAGGTGTGTGTGTGTGTGTGTGATTAGAGAGAGTAACGACAGTACGGTGAACTTAATTAAAAACAAGGAAACAGATGTGCAGCTGAGGAGAAATGTGCTCAGAATAGCAAACATCATCCGTTTGACTGATTTTTCAGTAGCGACCTTCTGTGTGTGGTTTGTTTTTTTTTTTTTTTTTCTCCTAATGATCGCTAAAGAAATGATTTTTGTGTGTGTGTGCTGTGTCTTTTGTGACTTTTTGCTCCAACTGCCCTCAGAACATGTCATTGATCGCTGAGAATGAAACCACGGTGATCCACGGCAACAGCATGAAACACAACCCACACGTTCACTACTATTCTACAGTCTACGTCATATCAATGGGAGCTGCCCTGCTGCTGAAGACCATCAGAGGTCTGGTCTTTGTTAAGGTAAGACTGGGGGGGGGTTTGATGAGGGACAGTTTAGCTTTCAAACTGCAGACTTAAAATACTATTTAAAAAAATACTTATATGATCCAAAATAGCTAGGTCTTAGTCACAAAGTTGACTAATAATATGAAGAGTTTCGCTAAAGCTGGTTTAGCTAGACTGAGGTTAGCCAAAAATCACTAGCTAAATATGAAAAATAAAACAGGAATTAGTCGAATTTTGATAAAGAAATTGATAACTGAGTTGGCTGCGTGTGATAAGGTAAACAAATTAAGTAAATGTCAGCCTGACAGTCAAGGACAAAAAAAATATAAATTGAAGCTAATGGCTAGCAGAATATTTTAAAATGATCCAACTGTGAAACAATATTAGCAATATCATTCAGTGAAAAAAAAAATAATTCTAAGATATCTTTTGCACCAGGTTACAAAAAGTTGTCTGAGAAACGTTATTTTATACTTTATTTTATGACTTAAAACCGAAGTTTGTAAACCGTGCACACAGGAGTTGCTGGTCTGCTGCTGCCTCGTGTGGTCAGTTTCAGTCATTGAGGTCATTCAGAACGAATGCACTTAAATAAGTCACATAAATGACATTTGAACTTGGATGAAACAACAACTCCTGCTTACATGTGATATAAAATAGCAGTTTATTACGTCCTAGGGATCTAACTTTCAAAAAAAAAAAATTCTTTTTTTTTTTAATTTAATATTATTTGAGGCCTCAGGGCCAGTTCCATTCATCTGACCACGAACAGATTTTATCTACAGACTGGCACGAGATTAATGTGTGAATCAGGGTCAAATATTAGCTGGAGATCAGGGACAAAATGACAGGGAAATAAGTGAAATCTCCATGACCAGAGCTTTAAATGACCATGGTTTAAAGTTTCTTTGTTGAACATGTTATTTGAAAAAGCTATAACAACTAAGGCAGGGGTGTCAAACATACGGTCCGTGGCCCAAAACCGGCCCGCTAAAAGAATTTTGAAAATAAAAAAAATATGCAAACACTGTTCAGGAAAAATTATATTTCATTAAATATAAATGATAAGAAATGTCTACTGTACTTTAACTTATTTGTATTAAAACAATGAAGAAAAATTACTTATTGTTATTTAGAGTTAATTATGTTGTGATTGTACTGGTCCAGCCCAGTCCTTGTGAACCAGAATAAGTTTGACACCCCTGATCTAAGGTGGCTTAAAGTTTACCAACAGGTGAGCAAAATAAGGCAGAGAGTGATAATTGTTAGCTAAACGGTCGCTAAATAGTTCAAAATTAGATCGACAAAAGAATAGCACTGAAATAATGGAAGTCTGTGTCAAAAAGTTTCAGTTAAGGCTAAGAGTAACGAAGCAAAAAAAAAAAAAAAATTAAAAAGATAGCTTGATGTCAGTGTGTTAAATATTAGCAAAGACAAATCGAACGTCCCTCTGTCTGTCCTCCCTCAACAAAGGCATCTAAAAGTTAGCCGGGAAATATGTTGACACGACAAATGTTAGCTGATAGACAAAGATTAGGATTTTGGGTTTGTCCCCCGTGTCTGCCAATGTCACTCAGGCCGTTTGTCTTCTGTCTCAGTCCTAACCCGTCCTGATGTTTTGTCACCGAGGTCACCTCCTCCGTCTGAGGACATGACCCGGCGGAATTAAGTCATTTCCTCAGACGTGGCTAATCTTCTTTACCTCCAGCTGTGATGAGATCAGTGGGAGTGTTAAATATTCCATTATTAGATGCCATTTGTTCTCTGCTGCCACTTGTCATTTCTGTCCAGCTGCTGAGACGTCTCCAGAGCTCCGGGTCGTGATCTGCGTGTCGGCTTATCACAAGCTCGTTACGCATGAAGTTTTGACAGGCAGAAAACATCGGAGAGGCTCACAGTCGTGGCTCACAGTTCTCTTTTTGTGTCTGTTTCAAGTGCACCATGAAGGCAGCGTCGACGCTCCATGACCGCCTCTTCCACCGACTCCTCCTCAGCCCAATGCACTTTTTTGACACCACACCTCTGGGTCGAATCCTGACCCGCTTCTCAAGAGACATGGATGAAGGTGAGGATGGGGTTTTTAACCACTGTAGAGACTTGGTTCAATTATTGTGGCCCAAAAGAAAACATCATCTTTAATCATCAACAGTTGAAAAGGTAGCACCGTATTTTCCGGACTATAAGTCGCACCAGCCAAAAAATGCATAGTGAAAAAAAAAACATAACTAAGTCACTTCAGAGTATAAGTTGCACCAGTCAGCTAAAGTGCCATCTAGTGGCTGGCAGGGTGATTTATTTCATTTTTGTTTCTTTACATTTAGCTCCAGAACTTTACTATGTTTTGACCAACCTGGGTTTTGCTTCTCTCGCACAGTGGACGTGCGTCTGACCATGCAGGCCGAGATGCTCCTCCAGAACCTCACTCTCGTCCTGTTTTGTTTGGGTATGGTCGGCATCATCTTTCCCTGGTTCCTCGTATCCATCGTGCCGCTGGGAATTTTCCTCTGTGTCGTCAATCGTGTGTCCAGGTGAGATCACTCAGTTCATGTTTACTAAAACGCTAATTCCACGTTGCGTCCAAACCCGATCTTCTAACCTGATAATCAGCAGCACTTTTATGTGGTCTTATTAAGAAATCTGGAACGACAGAACGGTTCTGACTCGACTCTTGACTCACCGATCGTTGATTGAACAAGTGCTCGATAACGTTCCGTCAGCTGATGATTTTCACGTTAGTCGCCTTCAGTAAAGAGGGACAGGAGACGGCGGAAAGATGATCAGCGATAATCCTCCTCTTATTGGAGATCGATCGGCTTCTCGTGGCTTTTCTCTTATGTTAAGCGTCTCGGTGTTGTTGCCGCTGACTCTCTGCTTTTAGTCATTATTTACGGTTTTTGCCGTGATGTGTGCAATAAAAGTGTGAATCCGCTGAGGGGGGAGTAAGAGCCTGCAGGTATCCGGGGAAATAAATGCAGGGTGTAGTTATTTCCTGCGTCTGATAGATAAGGAAACGGGAGCACTCGTATTATTGTTTTTTTTTGTTTGTTTTTTTTTAGATTGAGAGATATAAAACAGACTGTATGGCAGCGTGTTGTTTTATGAATAGAATACATATGTGCTCATGCCGTTTTAGACCATGATGTGATATTGTGTGTCGAGAAAAGGCAGAGGAATGAAAAATAAATTAGGGAAATGGAAAAAACATTTTAATGCTGTATTATATAATGCAATTATTGAATTCAAAGATCGAGTTAATGCTTGAGTTAAAAACTCAAAGTTAAGCTAATTCATTTAAAGTTTAGAATTTGCATTCCCATTACTAGAGTCAGTACCTGGAGCTTGAAACGATAACAGGTACTTTGCATTCTTATCAAAAGAACTAGTTCCGCGACCTAAGATCAGTAACTGGAACTGTTAGCATTCACTTATGCTAAGTAAATTAAAAAATAAATAAACTGAACTAAGTATAAGTTAGTATAATTCTATAGTTTAAAGGCATAAACTAACATAAATTATCATTGTTCATCTAAAAGACCTGGCATAGAAACAGCAGTGTAGTTAGCTAAAGATGCTAATGGAGGTGACTTAACGTTATAAAACGGTTACATTTTTCTTTCTTTGAATTATTGAAACGGCTGTAGTCAACTATCTTTACAGCGTAACTTTTACACAACCGATTCTGCGGTAAGCACAGCAGCATCGCAGTTTAAAAGACCGTGAAGATTCCCAGTTGTTAGCGAAAAAGTGGTTCCAGTGCTAAGGCCTTCGTGATGACGACGACGACGACGGCGACGATGATGATGTTTTGAAAAACAAATATGAGCTGGTGTTCCCGACAATGTCACTGTGTCAAAGGATATTTATGGCTGTAGCATCAAAGATGAAATTGGGCCCTGCTAAAGCAGCCCATATTGAATTGTGAAATGAAAAGGCCCGGTGGCGTAAACATGTTTGTCTGCGCCGCAGCCCCGCAGCAGCGGCGGCAACAGCAGAGTAGAGGAGCAGAGAGGGGGAAGAAGAAGAAGAAGAAGTGCCGCCTTACTTCCCCAGCTCGCTCACTCTCACCTCTCAGCTCTTATGAGGGGGAAAAAAAAACCAAATGATTCATGAGAGACTTGTCATTCACATGCAGCATACATTCTGTCCCGGAGTTTAAAAGTGGAGCGAAAGATGCCTCACCTTTGGCAAACAAACCTCTCTGTCTCTGTCTCTGTTTGTATTTGCAACACTAACTCATGGAGGATGAGTCTGTTTGTCAGGAACTGCTCGGGGTTTCTGTACTGAAAATGAAAAAAAAAAGTCTGATAATACAAAACATCTCAACACCTAAAATAACAGGATGTGTCTTATCACCGATCCGAACTTGGAACAGTATTAGAACATGTTTGTTTTCACTGACTGAACTAGAACAAATAGGAAACGTTTGTATTACTACAATCAGGAACCAACCATAAGAGCTGATTATAGTAACCTAATTAGCGTTTAAACCAGAAGAACTAGTTCCAGGAACAACAGACAGTGCCACTATATATAATTATCATCACAATATGTATGTGTCATTAAATAACCTTCATCTCGTATAACAACACACTGTACTGGCTGCTGCGGAAGCTCTAATGCAGACAACTGTCTCTGTCCAGGGTGCTGATTCGAGAGCTCAAGCGGCTGGAAAACATCAGCCAGTCACCCTTTACCTCCCACATCACCAGCACTCTCCAGGGTCTGTCCACCATCCATGCCTATGGCCGAGGTCAGGACTTCCTGCAGAGGTGCGTGAGGCAGGATTTACACCTCAGTATGCGACCCAGCCCTGACCGTGTCGGCTCCGTCTCCGTCTCCATCTCCGTCTCCATCTGCCTCTTTGTTTTTCCAGGTATCAGGAGTTGCTGGACACGAACCAGGCGTCTAACTACCTCTTCAGTTGTGCTATGCGCTGGTTGGCTGTTCGTCTGGATCTCATCAGCATCTCCCTGATCACTGCTGTGGCTCTTCTCATTGTCTTCATGCACAATCAGATTCCCGCTGCGTACGCAGGCCTGGCCATCTCATACGCCGTGCAGGTTTGTAAATGGACTGAATGTCAAACGTGTCCATTTCTTTCTGGGAATAGAGCCACTGAAAACAGTGATGCCCTTTTTTTTTTTTTTTTTTTTACCGTACCGATAGTATTTTCATTTGTGTACTGAACAACACCTAGTATTAGTATCAATATGTAATTAAGTAGAAGACAGTATTATTTACATTCCAAAAACCAAACTGACGTAGCTCGATTTTCGAGGTGAGTCAGCACTCGCGTACGGTAGACGAGTGCCCATGTCACTGATCTACGCTAACACAGTGGTCACGTCATAATCACGGACATTAAAACATCGGAAGACTCTGACTTACACCTCGGAGACGAGATGAAGGGTAAAAAGTTCCCACCAAAACAACATACAAACACATAACAAAAAGTCTTTAAAAGGACAGTGTCGTCAGGAAGAGGAAAAGAAAAGGCCTGAAAATGCGGTGATGTTTTAAATCGAACTTGACCAGCTGAACAGAAAGTGAGCAGAGCTTTTACACCAGTGGTGCGCTTCAGTTGAAAACAATGTCTCCTGTGAACAATGTATGGGAATTATATTGAGCAGCACTGTAAACAAATTAACACACACACACATGATGTTGTGAGTCTCAACAGAAACTGACTCGATGCGGTTTGAACTCTTTGGCTTTAGGTGTTTTGGGTTAATTGCTTCATTAGTGAAAGAACAAATAATACTGATTACACATACACCGAGCCTAACTAAGATAAATGACATGTAAAAGTCATGCTTAAAGGCTAAAATGCTAAAATGCCTATGCCATCTATTGGGGAAACATGGGTATTGCAGGGAAAAGGCAGAAGTGTTATGATATTAGAAATTATATAATTTGGAAAAGTCTAGCGGGCCGGATTAAAAAGCTGAACGGGCCACGTCCGGCCCTTGGGCCAAACTCATGCATAAAGGATAATTAGCTAAAATGCTTTTATCATTTACTACGCCATCTATTGGGGAAACATGGGTATTGCAGGGAAAAGGCAGAAGTGTTATGATATTAGAAATTATATAATTTGGAAAAGTTTGGCGGGCCGGATTAAAAATCTGAACGGGCCGCGTCCGGCCCCCGGGCCTTAGTTTGCCCAGGCCTGGTGTAGCTGTTTGATGTTTATAGCTGTTACCAAGTATCAGGTTACTGTCAAGCAATTTTCAAACCAAATTCCTAGCAGGACTTTCCAACATCACACAGCTTCATCACGAGACTTTCAAGAATATTTTTAGATCTGTCCAGAATATTCCAGACCCCTGTTTGTCCACAAATGTGAGCAGTGGCGCAGAGAAACACACGTATATATACACAGTCGGCTTCAGGAATCTGTCGTCTTAGTCTGCAGACAGGACGGTACGTTTTCCAAAGTGAAGCCTCTTTTGATCACCGGCTGCCGTAAAAGTTGTCTTTAAAATGATAATGTACCGTGTGCAGCCGGAGAAGTCATTTTGGTTTGTCATGGATTTATTTTCTAAGGAGCAGCAGAAAAGAACTCAGACTGCAGCCGAAAGTGGAACCGTAGCAAACACTTTTTAAGGCTGAGTAAGTCTCAAAGACTGAAATAGACTGAATCAATATGATCTAACTTGCAGCATTAAGGCGGAAAAAGAAGAAAAAAAAAAACGCAAATGCAGCACTGTGGCGCTGCCTCATTTAAAAACGATCCCTTTGTTGAACATCAGGGATCGTTACGATACACGCGACTCACAATATGATAATATCACGATTTTTTTTTTTTTTTTTTTGGACAAGTAAATACAACAGTCCTTTAATTGAAGGAACTATGCAAAAATACTAATACCAACTGAAATGGTCTTGATACTGGGGGTCGTCGACTTGCGTTAGAATCCCATTGCATTCCTACTTGTGTCACTCAGCTACGCTAACGCAGCGGTAACATCATAATTTAGGACAAAAAAAACACAAACGAACGCGAACTAGTTGGCGAGTTTTAACGCTCGACGTGAAAATGATAGAGCAACTTTCTTAATAAATTTAGGCGACATAGATGGGGTTATGTACCGTAGGTCGAGGACGTCGTAAACCAAGGACTCCCTGAATTTTGAGTGTTAATACTCCTATTGGTACACAGTACTGTCAAGTATATAAATCCAAGTATTGATACTTGTGCTAAGGACCATTGCTGCTAGCTGCGTGCTGTGGAGCTAACAGTCTATATCTGGGGACAGATTTTTTTTTTGAATGAACTAAGTACAAAATGATTTTGTCTTCCGTCCACAGCTGACCGGTCTATTTCAGTTCACCGTGCGTCTGCTCACAGAGACTGAAGCTCGTTTTACCTCAGTGGAGCGAATCAATCACTACGTCAAGGTAAGAGCATTGATCAGAGTCAGGGAATGTTTCCTTATTACGGTACTGTGTGTTTTATTCTGATGGTTATTTTTCTGGACTCACTCTAAGTGAAGACGTTTTGGCGATGACGTTTGCTAATTGTTAGCTTTATCCCGCCTGAGGCCTACACAGAGCTGTTCTTAAGGTGTTTATCAGTTGTTTATTGGAAAACTTTTGATCACGGTGCGTTCAAATTGCGGTGACATCTCAAGAAGGTGTGGCTAACGGTAGGGAAGCTAAAGTTGTGGCAAATGTAAGTCAAGCTAAAAGATGTGTCTTAATGCTGTGGCTAACATTAGTCAAGTCAAGCCAAAGGATGCAGTTATCATTAGTAAAGTTGTGGTTGACATAAGTCAAGCTAATAGGTGTGGCTAATGTCTATTAAGCTAAAACTTAGCCAGCGTTGGTTGAACTAAAGTTGCGACTAAAGCTAGTAAAGTAAAGTGAATGGTTAGTTACAGCTAAAGCTGTGGCTAAAATAACGCAAGCTAAAAGTTGTGACGTACGTATTACAAGCTAAAGATGGTATCACTACTGAGAAATATCGTCAGTTCATAATTTCACCAAAATTTTAAGGTCAAGGGGGGGGTAATGTGTGTTTTGTCCTAATGTTCTAGTGAGACAGAACCTCATTTCCGAGTTCCTGGTTTCTGGACTAACTCCAAATTCAGACATTTTGTTTGATCATTTTTAGCTGAACAGTTGTTGTTTAGAATAGACGTTTCTGCAGCGTTTTAACATGCGGTACTTTTTGTGGTGTACTCACAGTGTAATACACACAAACGCAGCCGTATGTGAGCTGTGAGCTCCATCTTCACACTCTGGAGAACATTTTCTCATTGCCGTCAAACCAAGGAAACGAGTTCTTAAAAAAAAAAAAGTCATTCACTTTCTCTTTTTTACTAATCTCACAGTGGGACACTCACCGAGTATCAGTCTGAGGACTGTTTTCTCCTCACAGATTTATAGATTAAGGTTGGCTTCTTTATTACAGACTCTGGAGAGTGAAGGCGTACAGCCGAATCCTGACGTCGACGCTCCTGCCCCCTGCTGGCCTCAGCATGGGAAGATCACCTTCCAGAATGTGGAGATGCGTTACCGAGAGGATCTGCCGCTCGTTCTAAAGGACCTGTCTTTCACTGTGCAGCCCGAGGAGACCATTGGCATCGTGGGTCGTACAGGATCAGGTCTGAGCTGACGGGGTTTTTCTGTTCAACAGCTGCTGCTGCAGCAGCTTTCTGGCGTGTGTCTCACATTTTTCTGTTCAGCAGCAGCTTTCTGGCGTGTGTCTCACACTCATTTGTTGTCTTTAGGGAAGTCATCTCTGGGCGTAGCACTCTTCCGACTGGTGGAATTGGCAGGAGGCTCCATCAGCATCGACGGGATCAATACCGCACACATCGGTCTGTACGACTTAAGAAGGAAACTGGCTCTCATTCCTCAGGAGCCCGTGCTCTTCATTGGCACCATCAGGTAAACGTCAGAGGTCTGCCGTCAAATTTAAAGACAGGACTTAAAAAACGTTAAAGGTGTGGCTAACTGTAGTAAAGCTAAAGTTGTATGGCAATGTACGGCAAGCTAAAAGAGGTATCATAACATCAGTTAAACCGATCCTGTGGTTAGAATTAGTCAAGTCAAGCTAAAGGTTATCGTTAGGTAAGTAAGGTAAGGTTGCGGTTAGCATAAGCCGAGCTAAATGGTGTGGCTAATAGACATTAGCCAAGCTATTAATCAAGCTAAGAAGCTGTAGCCAACGTTAGTTAGGCTAAAGTTGTGGCTAATGTTGGTAAAGCAAATGACATGGTTAGTTAAGCTAGAGCTGTGGCTAAAATAATTCAAGCTAAATATTCCGGCGTACATATTACAAGCTAAGGATGGTATCGGTACAAAAAAGTATTGTGAGTTCATCATTTCACAAATTTGTTCAGAATAATCTTTTCTAAATTCCGTTGTTTTTTTTCTGATATCCAATCATTAATACAGTTGTGGTTTTTTTTTTTTTTTTTTTCTACAGTTAAATGTGTTTTTTTTTTCTTCTCTAGGACCAACCTGGATCCGTGGGATCAGTTCTCCGACTCTCAGATTTGGGAAGCCCTGGAGAAGACGCATATCAAAGAAATGGTACGTGACAGCTTTTCAGATGATACAATTCAAGCCGCATTTGTTCTCTCACATGTGAATAACTCCCGTTCTTGTCTTCAGGTGAACAACCTCCCCCACTCTCTTCACTCGGAGGTGACGGAGAACGGGGAGAATTTCTCCGTGGGGGAACGGCAGCTGCTGTGTGTGGCCAGAGCTCTGCTTAGAAACAGCAAGGTCTGCTGCTACTCTGATTCACATGTCCTTATCCCCGTGACTTGGGGTGTTGATGTTGAACTGCTGTTCCAATCAAGAGAGCCAGCTTCCTGATCAATCAGTGTCCCTTTATGTGATAACACTGACACCTGCTGGTATCAATTCACATCATGCAGCAGCGTACACATGATTATAAAAACATCAATGTTTTATGGTGTCCCATTTATCATGTTGTTACGGGTCTTTGGCTTATTGATATTGTTATCAATTATTTTTTAATAATTTGTTTATGTTCCCACATTTCCTTTTCCTTTTTTTAAGGTTCTTATTCTGGATGAGGCGACGGCTGCCATCGACACAGAGACAGATCGACTCATCCAGGAAACCATCCGGCGTGAGTTCGGAGGCTGCACCACTCTCATCATCGCCCATCGTCTCAACACTGTGATGGGCTGCAACAGGGTCATGGTTCTGGACAACGGCCAGGTCTGTGGTCAACACACACACACACACACCATTAGAGAGACTCTGTAAGGAGGTGTTGGACTGGAAGAGTTAACAACAACAGCAGTAGTTGTATATGTTTTGAACGACCACAGTTTTTGTTAGAATCAAAATGATACCATGGTTGAAAGTAAGACAATAATGATTGAATAAAGAAACAACCAAACATTAAACATATATTTTTGATTCCCTTGTTTAATCCATGACTGTGTAGCTAAAGATTGAATAAAGAAACAACCAAACAGTGAACATATATTTTTGATTCCCTTGTTTAATACTTTGCCTTTTAGGCTGTTAAAAAAAACGTAGCAAAAAGCTAGTTAGCCTAATGCAAAAAGAGCTAAATTGAATTGGAATATTAGAATGGTTTCTAGAAATTTCTAAATTTATCAAAATGAAGCATTAACTAGAATTGTCCATAATTTAGCAACAATAGGATTTAACTAGAGAAATAGAACTATTTGCTGCTAATTTTAAAAAAAAGATATTAGCCAAGTATTAAAGAAAAGTTACCAAATAGAATGACAGTCTAAGTAGGTAGCTAAGGGTTAGCCACAAAATAGATAAACATCCAGCTCTAATTTGACAGCAAAAAACATATTTTTTTTAATTTATCTCCGGTTACCTTGTTGACCCTTACACATTGTATCGTTGAGGCACGGCTTATGTGATATTTCTGTCTTTTATTGAAATGCTCTCATTTCTTCTTCACAGATTGTAGAGTTTGACAGCCCTTCTGCTCTCCTGGCGAATGAAAACTCCACATTCAGGTCCATGATCCAAGCCTCAGAAAACCAAAGCAGATAAAAAAAAAGGAGGAGCTCAAGATTTGGGATGTTTGGGATGTTAGCTCTGTGTGGCCAATATTGAGCGAAACGCCTGAATAACACTCCAAGGAAAGAAAATCTCAGCAGTTATCTCAAGCCTTGCTGTGGTGTGAAGGTGACACATTTCTGGTCACTTTCACACTAAAGATCCCGGGAACAGGTTTCTTTAGATTTAACAATGCAGAGAAAAGAAAAAAAGAATGCTTCCTGTCCTTCAACGCAATGTCATGCCAGTCAGACTCTGGCTAATGCACTTTATTGTTTTACTGGGCTCTTGGAAGGAAAGGGTGCTTCCTTATTCCATAAAGAGATAGCATTTTTTTAGTTGTTTTATGTCTGTAAGGACAGCCTCACAGAGAGAGAGAGAGAGAGTGATGTTGATCTGATTTAGCATTTTACACATGGTACATAGGAACATGGATGCTTGTATTTATTGTATAATAATCTAAGGTACATCATACAGTATAGTTAGGAAAAAGAAGCCATCTTGGGCTTTCTCTGTCAGGAGAACTCCCTCACTTTGAATACTCACATTCAAAGGAATTGTCATTTTTAGATCGCCTCAGTGGACACTGGTGGGAACAAGCTACTCTTAAGCTATGTTTCAATAACACGTCTTCAGTTCAAAGTTCACTGACATGTCCACTTTTTGTGCAAGGTTTTACAGTTCACTGTCATGTCCACTTTTTGTGCAAGGTTTTACAATTGTCTTTGGCTAACATTGGATATTTCCTCTGCTCAGTTTTAGCTTTATTTATTTCTGTTCACATTTTAGCCTGTTTTGGAAGCGCCGTCGCAGCTTTACCTATGCCATTTTGTTGACTGTTGGACTTCCAGAAACCATTTTATAATTTATTTTCACTTCACGATTGTGCACAGAGTCAGTAGCTATGGTTAAGCTTTTTAATAATGAAAGTACTGTACTGTTTCCTCGAAATCCAAATGCTGGAGTTAAAACCCTGCACATTTTTCACTGCAGCAATGTAGCAACTTCAGTTAAGGTTTCAAACCGCAGACCAAGACGGAACATCAGGATGTTTGTTCTTCGAAGTCTAGTGTCGTACACTTTTGCCTTATAATAATAAATCGAGGGCTGAACAATCGCAAAGAGTGCAATATCAACGTTGCCTTCGTTAACTTGAGCTTATTTTGTATTTTATTACGCCAAGGTTGTTTTTAATTCTAATACAATATAGAACATATTTTTGTATATGCTGATGATGTCCCGTTTTGTATTAACATATCTTAATTTTCAACTGTGAAGGTTTTTCATGGCACCAAAGAGCTACACTGGTTTAGCAAAACATACCTTGTTAGAAATGTAAGACTAAGTAAAAAGTTTTGTGCGTGATTTTCACCATTTTTCTTTTTCCCAGAATCCAAAAACATATATAATCCAAATCTTTTCAATTAGGTGATATACCGTCACGCTATGGTTTATAAAAACCCCTATGTCTATGTTTAATTTATTATGTGTCTCATTGTTATTATTTTCTTTATACGCATTTCTGACTGGGAACTGAAAATGAATATTTGTATTTTACTTTTTTTTCTCCTGTTAGTCATGTTTTTTTAAATTGTGGAGACAAATCAATAAAAGTACAATTTAAAAAAAAAAAAAAGTGTTTTTAGATTTTGTTTAATTTTGGAACACATGCTCAAAGTTCCTCAGTGGTAACTTGGCAGCTGTTGGGACTCGAACCTGACACTCTCCGGACTCAGGTCTGCTTCCTTAACCACCAATCCACCACTACCTTTTTTTTCAGGAAAGGAAAGCTGATCAAAGGACAAAATTTAACTGCCATAACTACAGCTACAGTGAAACTGAATTTAATTCTTATTTAACATTGATGTCCAAGAACAGTGATGATGACGTATCACATCTGGAAATTGAAAGGACACAAAAATGAACCTCCTGATTATGACATTTTGTTTGCTGGTAGTCTCATCATATGGTATAAGACACCATATGATGACACTACCAGCAAAGAAAATGTCATAATGTCTGTCACTTTTTTTTTTTTTTTTTGTAAAAGTGACAATATAAAAATGAAACCAAAGCTTTTTGGATTGACCCTCCTGTTACCCTCAACTTTTCAAACATCATCCTTGGGGTCAGCCATTTACATCTCAAGAAAAAGGATTATAATTCAAAATATGACCCAATTTTTTGCATCAGGTATTTCAGGTTTCTTTGTTATTGCCATCAAAAAAGCCAATATAACAGCCCTCCCCCTAACCCCTGAGTCTCCTCCCCTAAAATTTGGTAGATAGAATACAGTAAAACTATTCCCAAAAAGACAATAGAACATTAGGAACCTGAATTAGCAAATTAGCAAAACAAAATAAAAGGATAATAGGAGGGTTAAAGTGTGACAACAAAGTCACTTTTACACTAAAGTACGTTTCACCTGAAGCTGTGGTATAACTAAAAGGTTATACCACAAAGGTAGGATAAATAACTACGCTGGAAGTCGCTGACAGTGCTGATGTCATGAAGCTAAAAGCTGGCGGTTATTTCACTACAAGGTGTGGCTAACATCACTGCTGTATGATATTGATATTGATGCTAAGAGACTTAGCAAATGACCCCTGATGTGAACAGCTAAAATGAGAAAATTGGCCTTGTGTTTGTTGACTTAGCTGAAAGGCTTGGCTCAGCAATTCATCAAAGTAAAACAAATATATACTTTCGCTGAAAGGAAAAAAGACAAAGCCATCAGGGGTTTCTAATGATGCTAAAGCAATGGCTTGTATTACCGAACATTAAAGCTGGGACTAATTCCACTGAACATAAAAGTTATACTGTAGCTAGGCAGCTTGAAACAAAATAATTAAGCTGAAGTCCCTGAAGCAAGGTATCACTTTAAAAAATGCTCAAGCTAACATGTTTTATTTTACTGAAGCCAAAGGATTTTGCTAGCAACAAAGTATTGCCTGAGGCTTTAACTTATGTCACAAAAATGTTATTTGTTGGGGCAATTCATAGCCAATTGGTCAAAAAAAAATAAAAAAAATAAAAGTAAACTAAAATATTGAACACTACGAGTGTATTTTATTCTGTTCGTGGTCATGTTGTGGTCCGTGATTGTAATTTTTATTGTGAAGGGTCCACCGGAATTGTGAGCTCATATTTTGAAACCGGGCGGAAGTTTGTGTTTATTTTGAAGGTCTACCGGATGTGTCTGCAGCTTCGCAGCTGTGAAGGAAGAGGAAAAGCTCCGGGCTGTGATGCCGCTGGATGATGGCTGCTTTTGGGATCCTGAGTTACGAACATCGGCCCTTAAAGCGGCCTCGCCTCGGCCCTCCGGACGTGTATCCCCAGGATCCGAAACAAAAAGAGGTTAGTTTCTTGCCCAGAATCTCAAAGTGACCTATTACGGGAGTATTTCAAAGAAAAAGAAGCCAAGCATTAGCTTAGCCTATTTTAGCCTCAGATTAGCTCTGAACGATTTTGGGCCTTGAAATAACAATGAGCAACAGCGAGTTGTCACTTTATAGGCTCGTTGCAGCTCTACAGCTCCTTTTGAAAATAAAAACAGAGATGTTGAAGGTCACTCCTCCAGTGGTCATGTTGAATATTTTGATATAAACCCCCAGAGCTACGGAAAAACAAACAATGAGCAGCTAAACCTAAAGTAAACAGTTTTTCAATATGCACGACTTGTAATTGTTGGTTTTTTTTTGTTTACCTTGACATTTTTGTTAAGTAAAATGCAACCAACAAAAAAAAAATCGAAATAGTTAAAAGCCATTTTGTCCGTTGGTAATAATTTACTACTATGGAGAAATGATGGTACTTCATCATAAACAATAACTGAAATTATAATAAAATTCATTCTTATCAAAAGTGCTTCGAATGCACGTTTATTAACATCAGTTAAGGAGACACTAACACTAGCTTACATTAAACATTGAAGATAACAAAGAATATCAAGGCCGGGCTTATGAATCATCGTACATAATCGTGTGTACAGGTGCCATTGCAATTTTTGTGCCGATTCTTATTACCCTTTTTTTTCTTTTTGTATTTGTGATCTGCCGATACATATTTTTTGTCAATAACGACAGAACTACTGCTGTTCTGTGTTTTATTGGTGACTTTTATTCGGTATAAGGCGGTATTTAGACACTCGGTGGTTACATTTTCTGCTGGCTTCACTCACGCTGACTAATACACGTTTATCAGTTTATGGCTAAATGAATCGCGGTGCACCCCCCTGGTTAGCCTGGACGATATAACTTGTAACTTAAAGAGTTTTCTGGCGTTTAAGTCTCAGATTTTGTTTTTAGTCCAGCGGTGCACCCCCCTGGTTAGCCTGGATGATATAACTTGTAACTTAAAGAGTTTTCTTAACAAAAATAAAAGGACAAACGCCTAACAGAACCGATGTCACAGCAGAAACTCACGTTTTCCAACAACTCTTTCTCTCTCTCTCTCTGCCTTGCTCATTTAATTACTGAACCAAGGCATGTCAGAGAACGACATAGTTTGCAGAACAGGGCGTCACAACAACAAATGGCAATTATTCAAAAACTAACCTAACCTAGACTTTACAATGTACTGCAACTACACTTGAGATGCTCCCAGTGCCTGTTGTTGTCATGGAGACACGTGCAGACTCGACCTGGGGGGCGGGCCTGTCATAATACCATAATACCTGACTTTCAGACCTTTGCAGAGTTAGACAAGATCAGTAGATAAGATGGTTTCATATAAAAGAACTGGCCAATCACAGATAAGCAGAATTGAATAAAATCAACCCTGATCATTGATCAGCTGATCGATGTTCACCCTTAGTTTTGTGTGTTAGCAAATGCATGCTGTAGTCCTTAGAATTTAATTTTCTACTACTCAAAGTTTGTAATTAAATAAAAAAAAATAATTGAAGCTCACAAAGCACAGCAGGGTAATCAGCAAGAAGCGATGTTCAAGTTGTTGTTATTTTGGTTTGAAGAAAACTGACAGTATTTAACCATACAGTTTAAAAAAAATAGTTTATAACAGTTAATGAATTTTGAATGCAAAATAGTGCACAAACATTTAATGTCCGTGATGTTTTCTCAAATTATGTTTCATTAAATATGAAGATTTTCTACTAAACTTGTACTTATTTGCATGAAATCAAAGGAGAAAAACATGGACTTAATGTTATTTATGGCTAATTATGTTATGATTGTACTGGTCCGGCCAACTTGACATCTAATCAGGACGTATGTGGTCCCTGAACCAAAATGAGTTTGACACTCGTGGTCTGTAAAATATAACAGATGACAGACCTGTGTAATGATTGGACAACAAATTGTTTCATAAAGTCTTACACCGAAATGTAATGTTTAAACTAGGAAAAGTCCATGATAGAGACATAGACTGAGACATGACCATTTGGTGAGATGTTGATGTTATACTGTAGCTCAGGTGTTTATTATGGAGAATTTGAGCTAAGTTTGGATTTACATCAATAACTTAATAATTCCATTCATGCTTTAAGGTGATATTTTGGACGTTTAATTTTCTGTGGACATATGTGACTAAAACGTACGTTTGCTGTAGGACGAGTTGACTGCACTGAACGTGAAGCAAGGATTTAACAATCAGCCCGCAGTGTCTGGCGATGAACACGGCAGTGCTAAAAATGTCAACTTCAACCCTTCCAAGGTAAGGACTCTTACTTTGCACTTCCAGCGTCCGCCTCTTTTGCTCGTTTCAATCTGGTTTGATTGACACGTTCCCTCTTTTGCTCCCAATATATATATATATAGATCAGCTCCAACTTCAGCAGCATCATTGCGGAGAAGTCGCGCTACAACACATTCCCGGATACAGGAAAGAGAAAACCACAGGTCAACCAGAAGGATAATTTCTCGTTGGTCACAGCAAGGTCGCAGAGCTCCATCAATAACTGGTTCACTGATTTGGCCGGAACTAAGCCTTTAACTCAACTTGCAAAAAAGGTAATATGACGAATCACAGAAACATCCCTCCCTGAGCAGATGGTTCTACTTGTTATTTTGGTATGGGGTGTTGCTGGAGAATTCTTTATGTTTCTAATTTTTTTTTTTATTTCATGTGGACTTTTCCTTCTGCGCACATCTGAAGCTGTTATTTTTATGATGCATTTTTCATGTATACTGAATGTTGAGTGGCTCCCTTCCTTACGTTCATCTCTGACTGTGATAAATTAAGCATTGACTATTAAAAAAATGGAAACAAACGGTGATGGAAGTGCACTGATGGGCAATAAGGAACTTGAATCAGATTGAGTTTCACACACAATCCTTTGGACCTAATGTCCAGAATTAAAATAAGTGGACCAAATTCGGCAGTGAAACCAGAGTTGTACCAAAAAGATGAACGCTTTCACCTCATATTACACGTAGACATCGAGAC